CATGCACCACCACTCCCGGCTAATTTTTATATTTTTAGTAGAGACGGGGTTTCACCATGTTGGCCAGGCTGGTCTCAAACTCCAGACCTGAGGTGATCTGCCCACCTCAGCCTCCCAAAGTGCTGGGATTATAGGCTATTGCGCCCAGCTCAGCAATGTTCTTCAGTGGAAAGCAAGCTCAGGCTGCCAAACAAATTATTTCCTGCAGAGTAGGCTACAGCTTGGGGGGCAGCCACCTGTGGGAGGAGACCCAGCCCAGGCACCTTGTGCAGCAGCCCCCCCACAGCACATGGACTCCGCAGGCTACCTCGCCAACGAGCCACCCACAGACACTCACTGTACCCCTCTTTCATTTGAATGGCTGTAGCCACAAACAAAGAAGCAGAGAAGAAAACATCTGTTTCTTCCTCAACATGTTCTCAGTGTCTACAATATGAGTCATCAAACTGCTTTCGATTCAGTGACAATTATCCCAAAAAATCCCTTTTTAAGATCTAAAATTGAGAGAACTAAGCCAATGATAAAAAGAAAAATTAAAGAGGCTTAGAATGTAAACAAAAAAGATTGAAGAATTCAAAATATCTGACAACATTTTCAGGAAGAGAAAGAAAGAGGACCTGTGAACTGAAATAAGTGTTCAAAGGAACCTCCTCTGGACTAGACTTCTCTAAAGCTGCAATCTCCTTGTTCTTAAATTACCACATAGAAATAGGGCAGAACTACTCTTGATAAGAACACCAAGCCTTCCAGATTGAATAGCAGCTCAGAAAACGAATAATCACAGCCAGAGTCAGCAGGGACGCGTCCATGGCACACTCAGACTATTTGTACACAAAGTTGAAAAAAGGTGAAGTTTGAAAGCCACTGAAACATTAGTTTCTTGGCCTACCACCTTACCACAAATACACATCCTACTATTAAGATTTAGTATATTGTGGATCAAGGACCAAAAAACACACAAAACGTCAAGTGAGGAGATTTCTAGGGAATATGTTTCCGATATTTATCAAGAAATATGAGTTGTAGGCTGGGTGCAGTGGTTCACGCCTGTAATCTCAGCACTTTGGGAAGCTAAAGCAGGTGGATTTCTTGAGCCCAGGAGTTCTAGACCAGCCTGGCCAACACGGCAAAACCTGTGGTGGGCATGGTGTAATGCACTTGTATTCCCAGCTACTTAGGAGGCTGACGCATGAGAATTGCTTGAACCCGGGAGGCAAAGTTTGCAGTGAGTCGTGATCACACCACTGCACTCCAGCCTGGGCAACAGAGTGAGATGCTGCCTAAAAACAAAAAAAAAGAGAGAGAGAAAAGAAATATGAGGGCAGGCATGGTGGCTCATGGCTGAGGTTAAGAGTTTGAGACCAGTCTGGCCAACATGGTGAAACCCTGTGTCTACTAAAAATACAAAAATTAGCTGGGCATGGTGGCTCCCACCTGTAATCCCAGCTGTTCAGGAGGCTGAGGCAAGAGGATCACTTGAACCTGGGAGGCAGAGGTTGCAGTGAGCCGAGATCACGCCACTGCACTCCAGCCTGGGCGACAGAGTGGGACTCTGTCTCAAAAAGAAAGAAAGAAATATGAGTTGTAGAGAAAAATAGCTGTCTAGTTATTTTACACGCTGGAAACCCAAACAAAATAATCCAAACAAGCCAAAGTAATTACGTTACATTTTAATGAGACATTAACTTTTCAAAGTTAATTATCTCTTAACCAATAAACATAATCCACATTCACAACCACATTGATGAACAAAACTAAACTCTGTAAGTCATTTAAAGAGATTTATTCTGAGCCTGTATGAGTGACCATCGCTGGGAGAACAATCTCAAGAGATCCTGAGAAAGTGTGGTCACTTACAGCTTGGTTTTATACATTCAGGGAGACAGAAATTGCAGGCAAAGACATAAATCAGTGTGTTAGAGTAGGTAGTTAGGAAGACCTGAGCAGGGCAGGGGAGGGCCCCTACCAGGTCGTAGCAACCACCAGGTGATGGTCAGGCAGAAACTGTGTCTCTAAAAGGATCATTGGCTGCAGCTGGTGCCAGGGATAGGCAGGCTCCCAATACATAGGAAACACCTGGAGCTGGTAATCAGCATCTTCCTGGTAAGATCTCAGGAGCTGGTCGAGTAGGTTCAAACGTGAGTACTAAGAGACAAAATGGTCCAGCCTGGCCAACATGGTGGAACTCCGTCTCCACCAAAGATACAAAAATTAGCTGGGTGTGGAGGCAAGAGCCTATAGTCCCAGCTATTAGGGAGGCTGAGGCAAGAGAATCACTTGAACCCAGCAGGCGGAGGTTGAGGTGAGCCAAGATCGCCCCACTGCACTCCAGCCTATGCGACGAAGCAAGACCCCGTCTCAAAAAAAAAAAAAAAAATTAGGCGAAGTTTTCAGTAAGCTGAGATTTTACCATTGCACTCCAGCTTGGACAAAAGAGCAAAACTGTCACAAAAAAAAAAAAAAGAAAAAAAAATTGTGGCTCTAAAGGAAATGCCCAAGAAAAATAAAACCAGGGCTAGTTTATGTCAAGGCTTTGTCCTCTATGGGATTTCCTATATTGTTTGTGATAAGGAGGAAGTAATCTAACCTTGTTTATAAGCCCACATTACTTAACACCGATTTGGCAACATGAAGAAAGAAATTAATACCACAGGCCCCAGACTGGTCTGTTTGCGGGGCTGGCCCTTGGCTAGACTCTGGACTCAGAGCATTCCTCATCAACAGCTCGCTGATAAGAGGGCTCGGCTTCCTGAGACTGGTTAGTAAACATTGTGGCTAATGCTAAATACACACCTGCTTTCCCTCTGGAGTAAGGGATTTTGGTACCAGCCGGGCAGAGGCTGCCTATGTGCCCAGACTTCAGTAAAACCCTTTGGTGCTGGGTCTCTAGTGGGCTTTCCTGGGCAGAAACATGGCATACACACGTGGTGCTGCATCTTTGTTGCTGGGGGAAGAGCGTGTTCTGTGTGACTCCTCGGGGGTTGGAGAGGGTGTAAGGAAGCCTGTTCCTGGATTCCTGCAGACTCTGCCTGAGTCCTTTTCCTTATGATCTGGCTGTGCATTCTTACTATGTCACTGTGAGTTCAACATGTGGAGTCCTAGTGAATCCCCAAGTTAAAAGGTGGTCCTCAACCAGGTGTGGTTGTTCACACCTGTAATCCCAGAACTTTGGGAGGCGTAGGCAGGCAGATCACTTGAGGTCAGTTCAAGACCAGCTTGGCCAACATGGCAAAACCCCATCTCTACTAAAAACACAAAAAGTCCCTGGACATGGTGGTGCACGTCTGTAATCCCAGCTACTTAGGAGGCTGAGGCAGGAGAATTGCTTAAACCCGGAAGGCAGAGGTTGCAGTGAACTGAGATAGTGCCACTGCATTCCAGCCTGGGCAACAGAGGAACACTCCATCTCAAAAAAACAAAACAAAACTGGGAAGGGCTCCATGAGTGCTTGTGTCTCAGGTACCCAAGGACCACCTCTTTTTTTTTTTTTAAAAAAACAGCGTCTTGCTCTGTTGCCTAGGCTGGAATGCAGTGGCTCGATCTCAGCTCCACCTTCTAGGTTCAAGAAGTTCTGGATTTTTGGGCCTCAGCCTCCCGAGTAGCAGGATTACAGGCACACGACACCACCCCCAAATAATCTCTGTATTTTTAGGAGACGGGGTTTTACCACGTTGCCAGGCTGGTTTCAAACTCCTGACCTCAGGTGATCTGCCCGCCTTGGCCTTCTAAAGCGCTGGGATTACAGGCATGAGCGGCTAATGCCCAGACATTAATTGTGAAAAACTACTCATAAAATGTATCATCTTGACCATGTTTAAGTGTACACTTCACTGGTATTAAATACACTATAACGCTGTGTGACCGTCACCACCATCCATCTCCAGAACTCATCTTGCACAACAGAAACTTTGTACTGTAGGCCAGGCACACTGGCTCATGTCTGTATTCCCAGCACTTTGGGGTGTCGAGGTGGGTGGACTGTATGAGCCTAGGAGTTCAAAGGCAGCCTGGTAACATGGTGAAATGCTGTCTTTACAAAAAATACAAAAAAATTTAGCTGGATGTGGTGGCATGTGCCTGTGGTCCCAAGCTACTTGGGAGGCTGAGGTAGGAGGATCGCTTGAGGCCGGGAGTTGGGGGTTGCAGTGAGCTGTTTGTGCCACTGCACTCCAGCCTGGGTGACAGAGCAAGACCATGTCTCAAAATCAAAAAATAAACACTACCTCCCCACTCTTCTATCCCCACCAGCCCACCATTCTACGTTCTGACTCCATGAATTTGTCTACTCTAGGTACCTCATATAAATGAAATCAAACACTTTTGTCTTTGTGTGACTGTCTTATCTCACTTAGCACCGTAATATCCTCAAGGTCCATCTATGTTGTAGCCTGTGTCAGAATTTCCTTCCTTTCAAGGCTGAATAATACTCCACTGTACGGACATACATTTTGTTTCATCCACTGAAGGACGTTCAGTTTTTTCCCACTGCTAGGTGATTGTGAATAATGCTGCCATGAATGTGGGTGAATAAGTATCTCTGAGACCCTTTCAACTGTTTTGTGTGTATGCCCAAAAGTGAAACTGCTGGATCATATGTAATTCTATTTTTAGTTTGTTGAGAATAACTCTTTTTTTAATTTTTATTTTTGAGACAGTCTTGCTCTGTTGCCCAGGCTAGTATTCTGTGGTGTGATCTCTGCTCAACGTAACCTCCGCCTCCTGGGTTCCAGCAGTTCTCCTGCCTCAGTCTCCCAACTAGCTGGGATTACAGGCACATGCCACCACACCCAACTAATTTTTGTATTTTCAGTAGAGACAGGGTTTCACCATGTTGGCCAGCCAGGCTGGTGTCAAACTCCTTACCTCAAGTGATCCTGCTGCCTCAGGATCTTCCCTAAGTGCTGGAATTATAGGTGTGAGCCACTACATCTGGCCTGAGGATAACTCTCTTTTAAGGCTGAATGTTATTCCATCAGGAGAAACCACACTTTGTTTATCCATTCTTTTTTTTTTTTTTTTTTTTTTTTTTTGTGACGGAGTCTTGCTCTGTCATCAGGCTGGAGTGCAGAGGTGCAATCTCAGCTCACTGCAACTTCTGCCTCCTGGGTTCAAGCGATTCTCCTGCCTCAGCCTCCCAAGTAGCTGAAACTACAGGCATTTGCCACCACACCTGGCTAATTTTTGTATTTTTAATAGAGACGGGGATTCAGCGTACTGGCCAGGATGGTCTCGATCTCCTGACCTCATAATCCACCCGCCTCAGCCTCCCAAAGTGCTGGGATTATTCGGGAGGCTGAGACGGGAGAATCGTTTGTAATCAGGAGGTGGAGGTTGCTGTGAGCCAAAACCACACCATTGCACTCCAGCCTGGGCAACAAGAGCCAAATTCCACCTCAAGAAAAATAAAGGGAAAAAAAACCCAAAACTCCCAAGGAACTTACTGTAAGTCAACAACCAACCAATCAGCCAACAAAAACTTCTAGAGGAAAGAAATCTGTGTGGGCAGTCAAAGCACACGTTTGAAGGCTTTCAAGTTGGGGTATGGGAAAACTCGGGAGGGAAGAGAGGAGTGCTTTCATTCTCACAGAGAAAAACACCTGTGGTTCAATAAACATTGCTCAAGGTCTAAACCAAATCTAAATACAGAAAATATGAAACTTGCAATAAAAGAGTAGGACATCCACACACACAAGCACACACCCATGGGAGGCCCAGCTGAGGCATTTACTTAGCTGGAAGTATCAGGACAACATTTTTCAACAGCATATATAAGACAAGCATAAAAATTAAACTCTATTTCATTGTCACATTTCATCTTTATTTTTCTTTCTCCCCAAGACAGAGTCTTGCTCTGTCACTCAGGCTGGCATGCAGTGGTGTGACCTTGGCTCACAGCAACCTCCGCCTCCCGGATTCAAGCAATTCTCCTGCTTCAGCCTACTGCATAGCTGGGATTACAGGTGCCCACCACCACACCTGGCTAATTTGTGTATTCTTAGTAAAGATGAGGTTTCACCATGTTGGTCAGGCTGGTCGCAAACTCTTGACCTTGTGATCCTCCCACCTCACCCTCCCAAAATGAAGCCTGGCCCCCATTTCATCTTTAACTCAACTAATGCCAAGAATTTAAGAGATGACCTTAATGGTATCCAGTCATCCAAAGAGCCGACCAAGATCAAGTCTATGTATAGACACAAGAACTGAATAAAAGCAAAACAAACTTCCCATGGGGGAGGGGAAAAAAAAAAGCATAGTAGCTCATCCCTGTAATCCCAGTACTTTGGGAGGCCAAGGCAGGAGGCTCACTGGAGCCCAGGAGTTCAAGGGCAGCCTGGGCAAGATAATAAGACATTGTCTTTACAAAAAATTAAAAAAAAAATTACTAGCTACTTGGGAGGCTGAGGCAGTATTGCTTGAGCCTAAGAGGTTGAAGCTACAGTGAGCCATGATTATGCGACTGCAAACTAGCCTGGGCAACAGAGCGAGACCCTGTCTCTAACAAAAAAGCAAGTATAAAACTAAAAATGAATGCTATAGCACATAGCAAGTGCGAGACAGCCTAGGAAAAGGGTTTCGGCCATACTGCACTTCACTCCATTTCATTTCCCTTTTGACAATGATCATCAGGAATCCTAGTGGTGACAAGATGCCATGGCTTGTCAGGAAAATTCTCAATGTCATTAACAGAGGCTGCTTCACCTCCTGCTGCCAGCAGAGTTGTACAGATCCATTATGAGCAAACAGAGCGAGGGTCTGGAGGATGTGGGGCTTGGGAATATAGGACCCAGTTGTCACCTTCAATGTAAGTCTTGGTATGACAGGTTGGACAAGGTGGGCAGCCTTGTAAGATGCTCCCCACCAATCCCCTCCCCTGAGGGGAGGCTGCAATTAGTTACTAGCACCTAATAGACAAAGTGCAGAGTGATGAAGTTATGAGAGGCTGCGGCTTCCATCTTGTTCTCGCTCTCTCCGGCTGTCCTTGCTTGCGTCCTTTGATGGAGACGGCTGCCATTCTGTGGGCTGCTCTGAGGCCTATTCCGCATGACGAAGGGCAGAAAGTGGTCTTTAGCCAACAGCTATAAGAAACCAAGATCCTTAGCCCAACAGCCTGTGAGGAACCAACTCCTACAACAACTACGTAAGTGAGCAAAGAAGCAGGTGCTACCCCGGAGAGGCCTGGAACACACCTGACTGCAGCCTGGAGAGACACTCCACCCAGGACTCAGCTCAGCCATGCCCAGATTCCCAAGCCACAGAAACTCTGATGAAATAGATGTGTGTTATTTTAAGTGGCTGTTTTGGAGTAATTTATTATGACACATTAGAAAACTAATACACCTTAGCAAATAATGTGCTTAAAGAGATAATAAATCATTTCTGCTAAGTCTGAAAGGGTATTTGTAAATCATTTATATAGGATCAACTAAGCCAATGGAGGTTATCTCAACTTCAAAAAGGAAAACCAGAACTTCAAAGCCTGGAACAGACAGGGGCAGTGGCTCACGCCTGTAATCCCAGTACTTTGGGAGGCTGAGGCGGGTGGACGACTTGAGGTCAGGAGTTCAAGACCAGCCTGGCCAACATGGTGAAACCCTGTTTCTTTTTCTTTCTTATTCTGTCCATATATCCTCTGAAATGGTGAAACTCTGTTTCTACTAAAAATACAAAAATTAGCCTAGCGTGGTGGCCAGCACCTGTAATCCCAGCTACTCTGGAAGCTGAGGCAGGAGAATCACTTGAACCTGGGAGGCAGAGGTTGCAGTGAGCTGAGGTCGTACCACTGCAGTCCAGCCTAGGCAACAGAGTGAGACTCTGCCTCCAAAAAAAAAAAAAAAAAACCCTAGAAGAGGAGAGTTTAGTGCTCCACACCAGTGAAATTCTGGCCAGTTATAAATACAGGTTCTCTGACTGCCTGCACTTGCCATCAAATATCTGAGAATCTCCCTCTATTGTATTCTTCAGATTTGCAGGTCAATTATAAGGCCTCAGATCTCACTACAGGTTTGTTTGGGGGTTTAAACTCTAGGAAGTTTTAAAATAAATAATGTAAAACAAAGTATTATTTGTATTCTTGGCTGAATTTACTTTGCCAAAAAAGATTCACTGTACAGTTTCATATCACATTTAAAAGTGAGCTCTCAGCCGGGCGCCGTGACTCACATCTGTAATCCAGCACTTGATAGGGAGATCCTATCTCTACTAAAAATTTTTTAAAAAGTGAGCTCTCTCATTTCCATGAAATGTTCAGAATAGGCAAATCTATAGAGAAAGTAAATTAGTGGTTGCCATGCCAGATGAGAAAGAATGACTGCTGACAGGCAGGGGTGATAAAAATGTCCTAGAGTTAGATCATGATAATGGTTATACAACCTTGTGAATGTACACTTTAAAATGGGACATTTTTATGGTTTCTAGATTTGATTTCAATTAAAAAATTGTTTTAAGTAAACTCTTATGGAGAAAAGCTAACACTTCCTCTTCAACATCTCCCCAAATAGTGACGTTCCATTCCCATACCCAGGACGATGAACCGGCACTGCTGGAAGAAGACACATAAATGATGAGGTGATGCTGGCCTGACGTTGCGGCTTAGATCTCACCACAGGTTTGTTTGGGTGTTTTCACATTGCATCTTCCAGGAAAATTGCTAGCAAAAATCCTCCACCAGTAAATGTGTGTGTCTTTTTCAATGTTTTTGTTGTTATAGACGTTAGATTCCTATTCTTAAGACTTAAAGGACTGGACATGGTGGCTCACCCCTGCAATCCCAACACTTTGGGAGGCTGAGGCGGGTGGATCACCTGAGGTCAGGAGTTCCAGACCAGCCTGGCCAACATGGTGAAATATACAAAAATTAGCCAGGCTGGGAGGCACATGCCTATAGTCCTAGCTAGTTGGAAAGCTGAGGCATGAGAATTGCTTGAACCCGGGAGGCAGAGGTTGCAGTAAACTGAGATCACGCCACTGCACTCCAGCCTGGGTGACAGAGTGAGATTCCATCTCAAAAAAATAAATAAATAAAAATAAATTTAAAAAAAAGACAAGACAATTTTACCTTATTTCATAATAATACTTAATTGGCCACTCCTTGCTGTGAGTTACAAGGTTAAGAAAACTTATCAAACAAAACATTTATAGAGGAAGACATCTTTTCAAAGTTAAGATTTCATTTTAGCATCTTGCTATTTATTTTTCATTATTTTTTAAAATTATCATTATATTTATTTTTTGAGACGGAGTTTTGCTCTTGTCACCCAGGCTAGAGTACAATGGCACAATCTTGGCTCAATGCAACCTCTGCCTCACAGGTTCTTTTTTTTTTTTTTTTTGAGACGGAGTTTCGCTCTTGTTACCCAGGCTGGAGTGCAATGGCGCAATCTCGGCTCACCGCAACCTCCGCCCCCTGGGTTCAGGCAATTCTCCTGCCTCAGCCTCCTGAGTAGCTGGGATTACAGGCACGCGCCACCATGCCCAGCTAATTTTTTGTAATTTTTAGTAGAGACGGGGTTTCACCATGTTGACCAGGATGGTCTCGATCTCTTGACCTCGTGATCCACCCGCCTCGGCCTCCCAAAGTGCTGGGATTACAGGCTTGAGCCACCGCGCCCGGCCCTTGCCTCACAGGTTCAAGCAATTCTCCTCCCTCAGCCTCCTGAATAGCTGGGATTACAGGCATTCACCACCACACCCAGCAAACTGTTTTGGTTTTAGTAGAGATGGGGTTTCACCATGTTGGCCAGGCTGGTCTCAAATTCCTGACCTCAGGTGATCCACCTGCCTTGGCCTCCCAAAGTGCTGGGATTACAGGCATGAGCCATTGCACCTGGCCTATTATTATTTTCAAGACAGGGTCTCACTCTGTTGCCCAGGCTGGAGTGCAGTGGTATGATCGTAGCTCACTGCAGACTCAAACTCCTGGGCTGAGGTGATCCAGCAGCTGCAAGTATAGGCGTGCACCACCACACCCAGGTTTGCTATTTAATTAAATATCATTCCCCAACACATATGGGAGTGACATATGCTTCCCACTATTATGTAGCAAAACATATTCCATATTCAGAAAAAATATTTATATGACATATGGCCTAGTATTCTGAATCAAGTCAGGATCTTTCAACAAGAGCAGGAGGGAGAAGAAAACATTTATATTCTATAACATGATTATAGGATTGAGATAGATAAAATGAAAAACAACATCTCTGAACAATTACAGTTGACAACAGCTTTCCCTTATTCCACTTACTTTAAATAACTCATGTATGTAAACTTGAAAACCAACTCTGGCTGATTTAACAGTCTTAATTCCTTGATTTTCCATACTGAACATCATCCAATATAGTGTGAAGATCAAAGGAGACTTCTTCTACCAAGCTCTGTGTCCAACTCTGTTTCTGAGGTCACACGTGTCCCCTCATGGACACCTGATCAGATACTTTGGTAGTCTGAGCCGCGGGCTACAAAGGCAGCAGCTTCCCATTCCACAGTGAAGAATGAAATTGTTCCAGAAAACCCAAATATCACCATGACCAGGAGTTGCCAGTGAAGGAGAAGGTAGTTGCTGTAGAAAAATGCCACGGCTGCGCAAATAGACTAAGAACAAACAAGACAAATCACAACGGGCACACCATGGGGGCTGCACAGCTCCATAATTAGCCCCTAACCCCACTACTATCTGGCCCCAAGGACAGCTGGAACTGGCATGCTCTCTATTCTTTCTGCATCTGGGTATGACTTCCTCAGTCACTGACTCACAAACATGCACCATCAACTCCTGCTACAATTCCTGGTATTTAAAATGGCATTTCGGCCAGGTATGGTGGCTCATGCCCCCCAACACTTTGGGAGGCCAAGGTGGGATAAATGCTTGAGCCCAGGAGTTCAAGACCAGCCTGTATGACATAGTGAGCCCCCATGTCTACAAAATAAAATGAAATGAAACAAAAATAGCATTTTGTGGGAAACTGGAGTAACAAGAATGTACAGAGTAAGAAATACACTTGTCTGTATGACGAATGAATAGAATTCTGGTATCTAAAGAAGGAAATCTCTAATCAGAGCCATAGAGACCAGAATGTAAAGTCTCCTATACAGAAAGTGTTACTGCTCATTGTTTCCTAATTCTATTCGCAAATCCTTTTAAAGGATGTCCCCAACTTGCATTTAAAAAACACAATAAAAGACAAAAAAAAAGAAACAAAAAAATAAAATAAGAAACAAAATATAGCCAGGCGTGGTGGCTCATGTCTATAATCCCTGCACTTTGTGGGGCCAAAGCAAGCGAATTGCTTGAGGCCAGTAGTTTGAGAACAGCCTGACCAACATGGCAAAAAACCTCATCTCTACTAAAAACATAAAAACTTAGCTGAACATGGTAGCATATGCCTATAATCCCAGCTACTCGGGAGTCTGAGACATGAGAATCGCTTGAACCCAAGAGGCATAGGTTGCAGTGAGCATTGTGTTCCGCACTCCAGCCTGGGCTACAGAGTGAGACTTTGTCTTAAAAAAAAAAAAAATAGGCCAGGTGCAGTGGCTCATGCCTATAATCCTAGCACTTTTGGAGGCCAAGGCAGGTGGATCACCTGAGGTCAGGAGTTTGAGACCAGCCTGGCCAACATGATGAAACTCTGTCTCTGCTAAAAAAACAAAACACACACACACACAAAAAAATTAGCCGGGGGTGGTGGTGTGTGCCTGTAATCTCAGCTACTCAGGAGGCTAGGGCAGGAGAATTGCTTGAACCCAGGAGGCAGAGATTGCAAGCCAAGATTACGCCACTGCACTCCAGCCTAAGTGATAGAGCAAGACTCTTATAAAAATAAATAAATAAAAGGTAAAACCACAATACAAGTAACCAAGGGAAAAAAGGTAATACACAAGGGAAAGAACCCTACATCAAACACAGTCTGAAGAGGTTACCTGAACAAACTTGAAGATGGCAAATGCTGGGGCGCTATCTTCAGAGTACAGAAAGCCCAAGATACTAAGCAGCTGGGTATTAAAGCAGCTGTCTCCAAGGCCCAACAGAAAACTGCAGAGAATGGCAACTTCTTTGCTGAAGAAAATAAAAATTAATTTAGTATGTGTAATATTTGCTAGAACTGACACAGCCAAGACAGAACTCTGGATCTCCTTTCCCAGCCCCAGGCTGCCCCTCTTCCAGTCTAATCACATCTGTAATCCCAGCACTTTGGGAGGCCGAGGTGGGTGGATCACTTGAGGCCAGAAGTTCGAGACCAGCCTGGTCAATGCACCAAAACCCCATCTCTACTAAAAATACAAAAATTAAGGCCAGGCATGGTGGCTCACGCCTATAATCCCAGCACTTTGGGAGGCCAAGGTGGGTGGATCACGAGGTCAAGAGATCGAGACCATCCTGGTAAACAAGGTGAAACCCCGTCTCTACTAAAAATTCAAAAATTAGCTGGGCATGGTGGTGCGTGCCTGTAGTCCCAGCTACTCGGGAGGCTGAGGCAGGAGAATTGCTTGAACCCAGAAGGCGGAGGTTGTGGTGAGCCAAGATCGTGCCATTGCACTCCAGTCTGGGTAACAACAGCAAAACTCCGTCTCAAAAAAAAAAAAAAAAAAACCAAAATTAGACGGGTGTGGTGGCAGGCACCTGTAATCCCAGCTACTTGGGAGGCTGAGGGAGGAGAATCAGTTGAACCCGGGAGGCAGAGGTTGCAGTGAGCCAAGACGATGCCATTGCACTCCAGCCTAGGCAACAGAGTGAGACTCCCGAAATAAATAAATAAATAAATAGTAAGTAAGTAAGACAAAGCTGGCATAGTGGTTCACGCCTGTAATCCCAGCACTTTGGTAGGCCAAGGTGAGCAGATCACTTGAGGCCAGGAGTTTGAGACCAGGAGTTTGAGACCAGCCTGGCCAACATGGCAAAACCCCATCTCTACTAAAAATACAAAAATTAGCTGGGTGTGGTGGTGTGCACCTGTAATCCCAGCTATTCGGGAGACTGACGCACAAGAATTGCTTGAACCCGGGAGGCAGAGGTTGCATTGAGCAGAGGTTGTGTCACTCACACTCTAGCCTGGGAGACAGAGTGAGACTCTGTCTCAAAATAAATAAATAAATAATAAAGACTAGAATTTACAAAGTAAGAATCTGTGCTCAAATGCACACACCTTTATATTCTCTAACAAACTCTGGCCTCTTAATCATTTGTGAAGAAAACACAGGTTGAGTATCCCTTATCCAAAATGCTTGAGATTAGAAGTGTTTCCAATTTTCTTTCCAGATTTTGGAATCTCTGCATTACACTGAGCAGTTAGGAGTTCCTAATCTGAAAATCTGTCATCTGAACTGTTCTAAGAAGCACTTCCCTTTGAGCATCATGGTGGCCCTCAAAAAGTTTTAGATTTTGGAGCATTTTGGATTTCAGGTTTTCAGATGAGATATACTCAGTGTGTACCCTTGGATTTGTGGAGCTGGACATAAATATCTGCATTTATAATGAACTTGAGAGTTGAGTGCACTAAACCAGTATCCAAAACGTGATATAAATGGCTCTGGAAGGACTGAACGGCCTCGTCAGCTGCCAGGTTCTCCATTGCTCCTCTTTGTTCTTCCTCCAGTCCCTAAAGTCTGGATATTTTGCTGCTCAAGAAGCAAAAATTGTCCGGGCATGGTGGCTCACGCCTGTAATCCCAGCACTTTGGGAGGCCGAGGCGAGTGGATCACAAGGTCAAGAGATGGAGACCATCCTGGCCAACATGGTGAAACCCTGTCCCTACTAAAAATACAAAAAGTTAGTCGGGCATGGTAGCACATGCCTATAATCCCAGCTACTCAGGTGGCTGAGGCAGGAGAATTGCTTGAACCCAGGAGGCGGAGGTTGCAGTGAGCTGAGATTGTGCCATTGCATGCCAGCCTGGGCAACAATTGCAAAACTCCGTCTCAAAAAAAAAAAAAAGCAAAGATAAAAAAATTCAAATCAGATCTTATGTGCTCCTTCAAGGATCAAGAAAAAGATTTACTGGGGGAAAAGGTTAAAACCAACTATTACAAAAATAACTTAGGATTCTCTAAGGATTCCTATTTAACTCAGTCTGACTCCATTAACACTTGACAGATGACCTTAGAGAGATGCCACACTCTCTGAAGAGGATTAACTGTTCCATTTTCGATATCTAGCCATCCATTACCTCCTACCCATCCTCAAGTGACTAGAGAAATGACAGCCACCATACCTGGATCTGATGTATGCACTGCTGTCAGTTCCTTCAATGGGAGCAATGGGAGCATCTCCAGGCATGTTGAGAAATATTAGATAAAAAGCCATAAAGTGCACCAGGATGCCTAGCAGCACAACTGGATTTCTACCAAAACGATTGTTCTTGCTCAGCAGGCCGAAGAGGCTTCCACCTATAATTCAAGATGGTAGAAACGTCACTAACTTGCCAAAACATTAAATATCAAGTCCTGAGTTATCATCAAGGAGGCAAGAAATAAACATTCTCACTTGTCAAATTTCTTCAAAAAATCCAACACCTGAGCACTTGCAGACAATGACAATGATGACCAGACATCAATTATTATAAGAAAAAGTAAGGGATTAAAACTACTCTCATTTCTATCCAGGAACATTCTTGCATTTCTTCTCTGTGACTTACTGTATCCCCATTGACTGTAACTTGTAACAGAAATAAAATAAAAACACAACTTATTACCACCAAGTTTTTGTTGTAATCATAGCCTAACAAGCCAAGATACCACACCAAAAGGCAGTCATTATGGATTTTGAGAATTATGTATGAGCTCCAAAGAGGAGTCAGAGAGGCCTAGGAAGGCTCAGTAGTCAGAACAGCTCAGAATGTCTCAAGAGCTGAGAGGCAAATCCTCAACAGCAGGAAGGAAAGAACTTTGTAACTGAAAGGAAGAAGACCATGGGGCATGACCTTTACAATTTTTTTTTTGAGACAGAGTTTTGCTCTGTCGCCAGGCTGGAGTATAGTGGCTCGGTCTCAGCCCACTGCAACCTCCGCCTCCCGGGTTCAAGCAATTCTCCTGCCTCAGCCTCCCGAGTAGCGGGGACTAGAAGTGTGTGCCACCATGCCCAGCTATTTTTTGTATTTTTAGTAGAGATAGGGTTTCATCATGTTGGCCAGGATGGTCTTGATCTCTTGATCTGGTGATCCACCCGCCTTGGCCTCACAAAGTGCTGGGATTACAGGCATGAGCCACCGCACCTGGCCAACCTTTACAATTTTTAAGTGATTTCTACCCCAGAAATCTATACGAGCAAACCTACACATCAACAAGTGAAGGATGGCTGGGTGCAGTTTCTCATGCCTGTAATCCCAGCACTTTGGGAGGCCGGGGTGGGAGAACTGCTTGAGGCCAGGAGTTCCAAACCAGCCTCAGCAACATAACATGACCCTGTCTCTATTTTTCAAAAGAGAAAATAAATTGCATATCTATTTTTAAAAAAGTGGGCCGGGTGTGATGGCTCATACCTGTAATCCTTTCAGGCCCCTTTCACTTCCAGGCCCCTTTCACTCCCACTTCAGGGAGGGGAGGCTGGAGATTAAATCAATCACCAATGGCCAATTATTGCTTTTTGTTGCTGTTGTTAGAGACAGGGTCTCCCTATGTTGTCCAGGCTGGTCTCGAACTCCTGGGCTCAAGTGATCCTCCCACCTCGGCCTCCCAAAGTGAATGAACCACTGTGCCCAGCCATGTGGCCAATGATTTAATAAATCATGCTTATGTAACAGATATCCATAAAACCCCCTAAACAGGGTTTGGGGAGCTTCTAGAGTGGTGAACCTGAAACCCATGGAGACAGAGGCTCCTGTACTTAGAGACCCTTTCAGACTCCACCTGTTGTACCTCCTCATTTGACTGCTTATCTGTATCCTCTATAATAAACTCTAATAGTCAGGAGAGCACTTTCCTGAGTTCTGTGAGTTGTTCTAGCAAATTATCAAACCTGAAGGGGGAAGGGGCTGTGGGAATCTCCAAATTTGTACCCAAGTCTGCGAGGCCTATGGACCCACAACTGTCTGTCTGTAGGACTGAATCATTAAACTTGTGGAATCTGACACTAACTCTGGATAGCTAAGTGCTAGAACAGGACTGAGCTGTTGGACACCCAGTTGGAGTCAGGGAATCAGAGAAAGAGAGTCAGGAATTTCAAGACATTCTAAGTATTTTAAGAGGAAAAGTAGGGAGACATCATGTTTTCTTATGCAGGGTTTCCATCTGTGAATTATTTTACAAATGTTTTATAATTTAGTTATATTAGAATAGTAATACAAAAATAAAAACATACGTGTTTGGGTACGAATAAGTAGAAAAATCAAATCAGGCCAGGCGCAGTGGCTCACGCCTATGACTTTGGGAGGCTGAGGTGGGCAGATCTCCAGGTCAGGAGATTGAGACCATCCTGGCTAACATGGTGAAACCCTGTCTCTACTAAAAATATGAAAAACTAGCTGGGTGTGGTGGTACGCGCCTGTAGTCTCAGCTACTTGAAAGGCTGAGGCAGAGGATCGCTTGAATCCAGGAAGTGGAGGTTGCAGTGAGCCGAAATCAAGCCACTGCACTCCAGCCTGGGCAAGAGTGAGACTCCATCTCAAAAAAACAAACAAACAAAAACCCCCCAAAAAACAAACCCAGAAATTCAAGGACAAAGAGGTGAAGTACACTTAAAATTTCTGTTTTAACTATAATGAACTGGTATTTTTAATGCAAATGCTTTTTTTAAAACCAACCTAAAATTTCTCCAATGCCGATGAAAATGCCGGAAAGTCCAATAAGGCTTTTCTCTTCCGCTCCAAATTTATTTATAGCACCAATACAGGTTCCATATACACCAGAAAAGAACGTTAACTCCAGACCTTTAGTTAAAAAAAAAAAAAAACAAAAAAAAGATGTAATTTATACATTCACTTTTATCTTCCCATCTAGTAGTATCTGACAAAAGAATGCTTGAGTAGTAAAACATAAAACTCATAGAGACCGAAATATTAATCCCTAAGCAGAATATAATTTGAAGTGATATAACTGTTGAAACGGAATTAGCTTCATGTTATGGATTAAATGTTTGTGTCCCCCTAAATTCACATGTTGAAACTCAAATTCGCCAAAACATGATGGTATTTGGAGATGGGACCTTTGGGAAGCTATTAGGTCATGAGGGTGGAACCCTCACAATGTGATTAGTGCCCGTATAAAAAGAGACAGCAGAGAGCTTGCTTCCTGTCCACTCTCTGCCATGGGAGGACACTGCAAGAAGGCAGCTGTCTACAACCAGGAACAGTCCACACCAGAAGCTACACATGGTGACATCTTGCACTTGGACTTCCCAGCCTCCAGAACCATGAGAAATACATGTCTATTGTTTGAGCCACACAGTCTATGGAAATTTTATAGCAGCTAAAATTAAGATACCACAAGACAGCATCTGCCATATATTTCAGATAAAAGTGTACAACACAAATGTACACATATCCTTACGCTAAAACCTGTCACTCTCCATGCAGGCAGAGATGGGCAGAGGTTATAATTAAATAACTTTATAAGAGTGAAGACTAATATGCTCATTAACTTGTTAGTAGCTTTCCAAGGAAATAGGAACACTTTTTTTTTTTTTTGAGAAATGAGTCCCCCTATGTCATCCAGGCTGGAATGCAGTGGCACAATCTCGGCTCACTGCAACCTCCGTCTCCCAGGTTCAAGCAATTCTCTCTGCTTCAGCCTCCCAAGTAGCTGGGATTATAGGCATGCACCACCACACCTGGCTAATTTTTGTATTTTTAGTAGAGATGGGGTTTTGCCATGTTGGCCAGGCTGGTCTCCAACTCCTGACCTCAGGTTATCTGCCTACCTTGGTCTCCCAAAGTGCTGGGATTATAGGCATGAACCACTGTGCCTGGCGCCTATTAGATTATGTTCTTATTGTAATGAAAGCCAATACATACTATCCAATGTGGCTTAAAAGCCCCACTATGTTTTAATTAAACCCCTTTTTCCAGGTAAAGAAAATTCCTAAGAGTAAAAAATTAGAGTAAATCAATAGGGGACCTTGATTCCCTAATGCTACAAAACCTTAACTGTGAATTTTAAAGATGTTTAATATTTATTCTGTTTCACCTAAAAATGTTATACCTATGTAGGGCACATAAAGGCAAAAGATTAATCAGCAAATTACAGCATTTTTAAAAAGAAAACAAATTTCTTCATCATTCTTGACCTAAGGGTACGCCACATGTTATATCACATTATGATGTGCTTCTATTTCATTAGAAATGATTTTTCTTTTTTTTTTGAGACAAAGGTCTCACTCCCGTTGCCTAGGCTGGAGTACAGTGATGCTATCTCAGCTCATTCCAACCTTGACTTCCTGAGCTCAGATGACCCTCCCACCTTAGCCTCCCAAATGGCTGGGGCTACAGGTATGCACCACCACACTCAGCTAATTTTATGTATTTTTAGTAGAGACGGGATTTCGCCATGTTGCCCAGCTCTTGAACTCTTGGGCTCAAGCAATTCACCCACCTCAGCCTCCCAAAGTGCTCGGATTATAAGCATGAACCATTAAAGTTACAGATCTCTTCATAGTTATTTTCTGCAGTGCTGTGTGTTGCCCTAAAACCACGGGTCCCAATGAGCCATCTGTTGTGGTTTTTCTGAACCTTGTGCAGAATCCAACAGAATGCAGTAGAAGTAATGCTGGGCTGGACTGAAGCCTGAACTTTTTTACTGGACTCAAGTCTGGTAGTCTTTCCTGTTGCCTTTTTTTGGAGCCATCAGCCCATTAACTAAGATGTGTGGCTATCCTCTGGGTCACAAGGAGATCTTATGGAGGGGGTTGTGCAGATGAAGAGAAGCTCTGAGACTACAGGAAGAGAGAAATAGCTTTTAATCTCACCCCAGTGAAGGTGGCACATGAAGAAAACTATCTTGGAAGTTCTAGCTCCAGCCACCCTCTAACAGCAGCCACAAGAGATCCCAAGTGATTCCATCAGAAGAACCATCCACAGCCCAGTCACTGCACAGAATCATGAGAAATAATAACGTGGCTATTGTTTTCAACCCCTTTATTGTCATTATGCAGCAAGAGAAAACAAGAACAGTAATTCCATTACCTGTATAAGCAGTTGTAATACTAAGAAGGAGCATCTCCTTGGTGACACATAACTTAAAAGACTTTTCTGTAAAGAAAAAAATTTAAGAGGACTTAACTAGATTTTAGTTAATAAAACATTCCTTCAACCAAAACATCCCTTGCCAATAATGCCAGTAAAGGAACACTTTGGAATAGAAGTTTCAGATTAAAATGCTTAAGGCATGAACTAAATTTGCCCTATAAATAAAATGCTTATTTCAAGTGCTTAAATATATTCTATGGTCACATTTTCCTCAGCACACTTTCCAGCTCTTGTGACAAAAACATGAATAGGAGAGAAAAAAATAGAATCAAAAAGTACTTCCAAAGGCTTGATTAACCGTTAGGCTCTTCAGGGAGTCAAACATCAGCAAGGCTCTGACTTCCCTAAAGAATTATAATGGAGCAGCTTTAAGACTGGACTCAAGATCAGAACCACAGGGCAGCTTTTTGGCCATACAGGAGCTGGGCACCACTTCCCAAGATTCTGACTCTGTAGCTCTGAGGACTGAAACTTGAGTTGTGCATATTTGTTTCTAGTCACTTTAAAGTTTCTTTTTACGCTGTTAATTTAGCTGAAATCTGCAAGGGACAATGCATTTCTAAAAATTCCATGTTTAATTTAATTGACTTGTCTGAAACCATAACTTAAGGACCACTATTCAATTATGCAAAACTAATAGTGGATCCAGATTTTACTTGTGATTTATCTGCTGGCCACAAAACTTACATAAGTCACAAACACTGTCCTAAATCTCTCCATATGTAAGAAAGGATGCTTTTTTTCTCTAATTTCACTGAAATATATTAAGAATAAATATAATAAGGCATTTTTACCAATCATTTTCAAGTATTTCCAGGAAAAAAATAAATGACCAATGCAAAGTTTAAAATAATACTTTTAATTTCAAAAAATTCCACTAGCAAACCATGTTCATTTTATTTATTTATTTTTTGAGACAGAGTCTCACTCTGTCACCCAGGCTGGAGTACAGTGGCACGATCTCAGCCCACCGCAGCCTTTGCCTCTCGGGTTCAAACAATTCTCTTGCCTAAGCCTCCCAAGTAGCTGGGATTATAGGCGCGTACCACCATGCCTGGCTAATTTTTTTGTACTTTTACTAGAGACGCGGTTTCAACATGTTGGCCAGGCTGGTCCTGAACTCCTGACCTCAGGTGATCCACCCATCTCGGCCTCCCAAAGTGCTAGGACTACAGGCATGAGCCACTGTGCCCGGCCACACGTTCATTTTAGAATCATCAGAACACAGAAATAAATAAATATAATAATAATAATCAGAACACTTAGCTAACAAAAAGAAACTCTAAAAGATTATCTAGTATGATACTATAATGACATATGCATGTCATTATATATTTGTACAAACCCATAAAATGTACCACACCAAGAGTGAATCCTAATGTAAACCATGGTCTTTAGGTGATAATGACCTGTCAGTGTAGGCTCATTATAACAAATGTGCTCTGGTGGGGAACATGATAACAGAGGGAAGCTCTGTATGTGTGGTGTAGGGACTATATGAGAGCGCTATACTTTCTGCTCAGTTTTGCTATGAACATAAAAATGCTCTAAAAAAATAAAGTCTATTTAAAAAAACCCATCAATCTGTTTGCAGAAATACATTGATCCTAAAATTCATGGCCAGGTGGCTCATGCCTACAATCCCAACAATTTGGGAGGCTGAGCTGGGAGAATCGCCTGGACTCAGGAGTTCAAGACCAAGTTGGGTGACACGGCAAAACTGAATCTCTACAAAAAACTATAAAAATTAGCCAGGCATGGTGGTGCACACCTGTAGTCTCAGCTACTTGGGAGGCTGAGGTGGGAAGATCACTTGAGCCCAGGAGGTTGAGGCTATGGTGAACTGTGATCATGCCACTGTACTCCACCTTGGGCGACAGATCAAGACCCTGTCTCAAAAAAAAGAAAAATTATATGGAAATTCAAGGGACCCACAATAGTCTAAATAATCTTGAGAAGTAACAAAGTTGGTGGATTCACACTTTCCGATTTCAAAACAGACAGTAATCAACTCAGCATGGTAATGGCATAAGGATATATCCGTCTATCTAGAGATAAACATTTATATTTACAGTCAACTGACTTTTTTATAAAGGTGACAACACGGATTCAATGTAGAAAAAATGCTTTTCTGGAAATGGCACTACTACAACAGGATATTGACATGCAAAAGAATAAAGTTGGACTCCTATCTCAAACCATATGCAAAAATTCACTCAAAATGAATCACAGACCTAAATGTAAGAGCTAAGACTGAAAAAAAAAAAAAAAACTCTTAGAAGAAAATATAGGAGTAAATTTTCAGGAGCTGGGGTGAGGCAAAATCTCAGGACATCAAAAGCACACACAATAAAAGAAAAACTAAATAAACTGACGACATCACAATGAAAAACTTTATCAAAGCCACAGTAAGATATCCCCTCACACCTGTTAGGATGGCTATTGTCACAAAGACAAAAGATAACAAGTGTTGGTGAGAATGTGGAGAAAAGAAAACCTTTGTACGTTACTGGTGAGAATGTAAATTGGTACAGCAAATACGTAAAGCAATATGGAGGGTCCTCAAAAAACTAAAAATATGTTACGATCCGCCAAGTCCACTTCTAGGCATATATCCAAGGAAATGAAAGCAGTATCTCAAAGTAACAGCTGTACTCCCATGTCCATTACAGCACTACTATGTGTGTGTGTATTAATCATACAACAAAGACATGGGAACAACTAAGTGTCCTTCAACAGATGAATAAAGAAAATGTGGAATATACAATGGTATATTATTCAGCCTTATAAAAGAAAATCCTGCCGTTTGGGGCAACATGGATAAACCTGGAGGGCATTACACTAAGTGAAATAAGCCAGACACAGAAAGACAAATACTGCATGATCTTACTTATATGTGGAATATTAAAAAGTCAAACTCATAGAAGCAGAGGGTAGCATAGTGGCTGCCGGGGCTGGGGAGTGGGGGAAATAGAGAGATGCTGGTTAGGGAGTACGAAGTTTCTGTTAGGCAGGATGAGTGAGTTCTGGGGATCTAATGTACAAGTTGGTATTGATAGTTAATAACACTCTATTGTATACTTGAAATTTGGTTGGAAAGTAGATCTTAAATGTTCTCATTACACATGCGAAAAAAAAATAGCTATGTAAGGTGATGAATACGTTAACTAGCTTGAGTGTGGCCATCATTTCACAATGTATACATATATCAAAACATGTGGCTGGGCACCGGGGCTCATGCCTGTAAATCCCAGAACTTGGGGAGGCAGACGTACTGCTTGAGGGCCAGAGTTCAACTCTGGCCTAGCCAACATGGTAAAATCCCATCTCTACTGAAAACACACACAAAAAAAATTTCCTGGACACTGTATAAATAAAAATTAAAAGAAAAAAAAATTAGCTTGGTGTGGCGGTAAATCCCTGTAATCCCAGCTACTCGGGAGGCTGAGGCACCAGAATCACTTGAACCCAGGAGGCAGAGGTTGCAGTGAGCTGAGATTGTGCCACTGCACTTCAGCCTGGGTGACAGAGCAAGATTCCGTCTAAAAAAAAAAAAAACAAAACACATTGTACATCATAAATATACACCTATTTTGTCAGTTATACCTCGATAAAGTTGGGAAATTCTTTTTTTAAGTTTAGTGCTTCAAAAGATACCATCAAGAAATTGAAAAGTCGGGCCAGGTGCAGTGGCTCATGCCTGTGTAATCCTAGCACTATGGGAGGCAGAGGTGGGTGGATTGCCTGAGCTCAGGAGTTCAAGACCAGCTTGGGCAATATGGTGAAACCAAAACTAAAATACAAAAACTCAGCCAGGTGTGGTGACACGTGCCTGTAGTCCCAACTACTTGGGAGGCTTAGGCAGAACTGCTTGAACCTGGGAGGTGAAGGTTGCAGTGAGCCAAGATCATGGCACTGTACTCTAGCCTGGGTGACAGAGCGAGACTCCATCTCCAAAAAAAAAAGAAAGAAAGAAAATGAAAAGTCAATCTATAGAACAGGTGAAAACACTTGCTTTCTAGAGTGCTTGCTGAAACAAAATGGGAGAAAATATCTGTAAATCATATATGTGGAACTTTTATCTAGAATATACAATAAATTCTTTATGACTCATTAATAAAAACAGAATCCAATTTAAAATTTAAAAATGGGCAAATGATGTAACTAGGGCTGGACACGGTGACTCACACCTGTAATCCTAACACTTTGGGAGGCCGAGGCAGGTGGATCACTTGAGATCAGGAAAACAAACAAACAAAAATGTATATAAATATATCGCAATGAGACACCATTTCATGCCCACGCCCACTAGGATGGCTATAACAAAAAAAAAAAACCACCACCAGAAAATAACTGCAAGCGTGTGGAAACCCTGGCGCTCTCATCCCCTGCTAGTAGGAATGTAAACTGGTGCAACAATCTGGCAGTTCCCCCGCAGACTAAGCAGTGAGATCCCACATGACCCAGCAATTCCACCATTCCTAGGTGCGTATCTAAGAGGTCTGAAAACATATCCACACAAAAGCTTGTACACGAACTTTAGGTGTTACTCATAATACATAAAACATAAAACGACTCAAATTTTATAATATACTGTGACATGAATGAGCCTTGAAACCATTGTTTCTTTTAAGAAACCAGGCACAAAAGACCACATTGTACGATTCTATTTACATAAAATGTCCAGAATAGGCAAATCTATAGACAGAAAGTAGAGGAATGGCTGTAAGTAGTGGTGAAAGGGAAGAAAGTGGGAGTGCCTTAGGGAGGTTGAATTAGGAGGCTGGAATGAGAAGTGACTCTAATGTGTACAGGGAAAATGCTCTAAAATTGAGTATAGTGATGGTGACACAACTCTCTGAATGCATTAAGTTGTACGGAATTTGCAATTCTTTAAATTGATTAAATGGGTGAATCAGATGGTATATGAATTATATCTCAATTAAAAAAAAAAACAGAATCTAACACCTTAATGAATCTCCTTCCAGACATTTCCTATGCAC